GAGAAAGAAGAGAAGTGGGAGAGGAAAGTAATAAGAAAGAAGGGGGAGAGATAGCAAGAGAAAATGGAAAGGGAAGGAAAGAAATAGAAGCTAGAAAATCAGAAAAAAAGAGAGACAAGAAAAGGAAGAAAAGGAGAAAAAAAGAGAGAAAAGAAAAGAAAAGAGAGCAAAGAACAAAGAAAGAGAAAGAAAGAAAAGAGAGAAAGAAAAGGAAAGAAGAGAAGGAAAAGGGCAAAAGAGGAGAAGAAAAAGAAAAAGAAAAAAAAAAGAAAACAGCGACCATTACAACCACCAAGTCAGTAAACAACCACAGAGAAAGCCCCCCCCCTCCCCCCCCCCGCCGCCGCCGCCCTCCCCCCGCTAGCCCCCCTGCCAGCTCTCGCCCGGGATGTCTCTGACGCGGAGCCGGCCGTCGGCGGCAGGTCGAGCTGCGGATCGGCAAGGCAATCGTCAGGTGGTCGCCCGAGCGGCCTCTTGTCCTCGTGAGCGGCGAGGTCGGCGCGGCGGCAACGGATCCCAGCCGCTGGCGCTTGCGCGACTTTGGCGTCGGGTTTGATCCCGGGACCGATTGTCAGACGCGCGACATCTTCGCCAGCTTGCCGCACCTCATCTCCTGATTTGTGTGGGGTCGGCGCTCTTATAACAAAGCGTATCCAGGGGGGTCGCTCCCACTTCCCGCGCGTGGCACGCACGGTGCTTCTTTTTTATTCGCTGTGACCTGTGTGTGATCATGTGTACAAATCAACAGAGTGATAATAAAGTGATATTCAGCTTGCGTTTCCGGTATCATCTGTCCTGGGGGGGCGTCCACCCATGCCGCGTTGGTGTCCAGTCCGAGCCTGACTGTTCTTCACCTTCCTACCTAACCTCACCAAAGGTGTTTTTTAAGCGTCGATTAATGGTTAATTTTATGAAGAGACTACCGTCACCCATCGCCCGCCTCCGAAAGAAAGCGCAGCTGTCTCAAGCACAATCTCACGGTGAGTGAGTTATCCTTGATATGAAACCACGACGACACACACCAGTCGACTCGCATCGGTTGCCTCCATGAACGGCGGAGCTATTCTCGCGTCCACACACACACGCACAATCTCACGTTGTGTGTATCGCGCGCCTTGCGGGGGGGGCGCGGAAAGAGGAACCTCTCTTAGCGTCATCGCCATGGTGCTGCAAGCAGCGCCGGGCGACGGCGACTTACCGCTCCCGGCCCCCCTCGGCACACCTCCGCTCTGCTTAATGTTTGACGACTCGAACCCGTGAAGCTTCCCCGTGCGCGGGTTACCCCGCACACGGGTCAGCCTGCCAGCCACGTATCCACGCAAGCGTGGTCCGCGTGCATGGCATACACGTTCACAGGGTGATTCAGATTCCGTCGGCGCCTGTTTGTACAGATCTATAAACCGTCTGGTGTTCCTTTGATGATAGCGATTCGCCAATTCGCGCAACAAGGGCAGGGATTTTCTGCGAAATCATAGCCTCATTTTTTTGCAGGTCGATAACGATATGGCAGTCTCCTCGGCTATTGGGCTCTCGATACACCGCCAGCAGGCTTCCGGGCTTGATTCGGGTTGTTTGGTAGAGGTGAGGTGGGTGGGGTGAGCACCTCTGCCATTTATTTCACACGAAGAAAAAATCTACAGAAGGTAACCTCGAAAGGTAATCTCGAAATTCCATTTTTCAAAAAAAGTAACCTGGCAACCTGGTAACCTCGGCAAAATTTTCTTCCGCCAATTTTTTTTCTCAGCCTCTGAAATTTTTTTTGGGGTGGCCGAATTTTTGCAGGTTACCTTGGTTACCAGGTTACTTTTTCATTTTTATATCTTTCATATGCCCGTAGCGTCGCTGTATTGCAAGACGCACACCACCTCTCTCCCATCCCCTTCGGTCACAGTTTTTCGTGACCTTCACGGCCAACGAGTTCGGGTGGCGAGATCAACACACCGCATGTGGCGGGCGACACTTCGGAGAGCGGCCGGTCGAGGCGACGAGGCACTACAATCACCGATGGCGCCTCTTCAACAAGACGTACGTACCTGACCGGTGACACCCCTCTCGGTTTCATCGAGCGCAAGTGGTATCGTCACGAGGATCAGGTGATGACCACCCCCACACCGTCGCTCTCCGAATCGAACGCGCTGACACCACTCTCGCCAACTAATCACCACATCGCTGTAGGCGCGCGGGTCGCTCCACGTGCATCCTTAGGAAAAAGAAAACTTTGGCCGCGTCGTTCGCCGACGCCCACACCGCTAGTCCTAGATAATACGAGTGACAGCAATACGAGTGACGACCCAGAGCAGCTTGTCGCGTTGGTGCGAATACTTGATGAGGCGCAAGTGGCCGATACAAAGGTCCGGCTACGGGTTAGCGTCTTCACCCTCGTCGACCACTCGACCACTGGATATAAAGACACGGAATACGCCGCGGCGCCCGCGTACTTCCTCATCATCCTCTCTTGCCGGCCGACGGATCGACTCGGCATCAGATGTGCTTGCCTGCTTGGCACCGTGAGAATGTTGTTGGCTTGTTTTCAAGCTTGTTTGATCAGCGCGGAGATTATTAACGTGCAGGCGGCGGACTGGGACAAATGCAGCTCGTACACCTTGTCAGTAACATCAACTCGTGCTGTGCTCAACCTTTGCTACAGCCTGTTCCTCGCCTCTTCTTCGGATGCTGATCCAGTATGTGCATGCATGCTAGCACGCCCCCAGGCCGCTCCCGTTGATGTCTCCATCCACGCCGCCCCAGCTCTCGTCCAGTGCCAATTCCTGAAAGGGAACAGCCAGGACGAGCCCGCCACCGGCGGGCGGGCGGGGGGGCGGGGCGAGGGCGGGGCGGGCTGGCAATGCGAGCGCCTGTACAGGCGGTGCTGCTCAGCTCCGCCACGCTTGTCATCTCGAGCTCTGTGATGCGCCAGAGGTCCATTGCCTCCTCGCCCACGTAGGCTCGCTCGAGATGGCTCACAAGCCTTGACCAAGAGGCCTCGAAGGTGGCTATCAAGCCTCGGCTTACCAGTGACACGCCTGTGGCGCACCTTTGGCGTACCGCTGGTGACCACAGTGGTCGCCTCTTCCGCAGGACGGCTCTCTGGCGGTCGCTGCTCTTCTGCAGGACGGCTCTCTGGCTATCGCTGCTCTCCCGCAGGACGGCTCTCTGGCTATCGCTGCTCTTCGCATTCCGCAGGACGGCTCTCTGGCGGTCGTGCTCTTCTGAGGTCGCCAACTGTGGTTGTCAGCAGCCTGCCTTTGGTTTGCCTCGGCATGCCTCTGGTTTGCCTCTGGGGACTGGGTCGCCCATCCTTCATGGTGGTCAGACGTTGGGAACACGGGCCGCCTCCTCCGCGGTGACATCGCCCTTGTCCACGAGCCATGCGGACAGCTCCACCTCGGCCCAATGCTTTGGCGGCGGCGGCTTGGGGAGCTGTCTCTCTGCGCGCCACGTTGCATGCTGTCGTGCACGTGGCGTGCCCAATAGAGGTCTGCCCATGTGGGTCGGCCTCTTCCTTGCCGCACCAGTACGCTCCTGCGCTACCTGCATTGCAATTGACATTGCGGCGGCATGCGGCGGCATTGACCATTGTGGCGGAACGCTGACTGGGTGCGGCGGCACGTCGGCTCGAGAAGGCCCGTCGCCGACGATATGATGCGCCTGCAGCAGGAGCAGGGCGAAGTTGTCGTCACGCGAGATTGCGCACGAAACTCGGACGATGGGGTTCGAGCAAGCAGGTAGCAGCCCAACGCTGCGAGCCGGTAGAGCCGTAGTGTGGTGTGTGGATCGCGTATTTTGGGTATTGCTTGCTGTCCCCCCTCTCCTCACGTTGTACGTGAAGGACAACCTTCATAGCACGCTATGTCCAAAAACACCCCCCTCTCTACAGGGCAGCGGCGCCGAGCACAACCCCGTTCTGCCTCACGAGGCGCAGCGCCCCGTCCGGGGGCGCGGGGGCGGCCAGCCTCCCCCCGCCGCCGCCTCGCCCGCCCTCCGCGCTCGCCGTGCGGTAGAGGACCTCCTCGTCCTCGGCGGCCTCGACGGCGGCCTCGACGGGCGAGGCGGTGGTGGCGGAGGGCGGCCGCCGCAGCTCCGCGCTCGCCGTGCGGTAGACGAGGTCGTCGCTGGACTCGCCGCTGCTCTGCTACGCACAGCAGGAGGTGTGAAGAGACGCCGTCCACAGCGGAGCTCGGCTCTGGACTCGCCGCTGCGCTGCGGCGGCGCGACCTGCCGCTCCGGCGCCGAGCAAGGCCCTCTCCTTTCTCGAGTGATCTCGGGCGATCTCGCGCGATCTCGGGCGATCTCGGGCGATCTCGGGTGATCTCGGGCGGTCTCGAGTGATCTCAGGCGATCTCGGGTGATCTCGGGCGATCTCGGGTGATCTCGCCTGCTCGGGCGGCGGAGTCAGCCCTGCTGCCGGCTGGCTGGTCAGCCCTGCTGCCGGCTGGCTGGTCAGCCCTGCTGCCGGCTGGCTGGTCAGCCCTGCTGCCGGCTGGCTGGTCAGCCCTGCTGCCGGCTGGCTGGTCAGCCCTGCTGCCGGCTGGCTAGTCAGCCATGGGTGGTGTAGGCACTGCGCGAGGGTGGCGCGGCCGTCGGCGTCCTGCGTTGGGAGCGGGCGGGAGTCGGGGCGGGAGGTATAGCCGAGATATAGCCGAGATATAGCCGAGATGTAGCCGAGATATAGCCGGAGTTGGGGCGGGAGGTATAGCCGAGATATAGCCGAGATGTAGCCGAGATATGGCGCATCTACGGGTGGCGTTCGATGGCGAGCAAGCCGTCGCAATACTGGCGCGCGCGGGGCGAGAAGGGGCAGGGCCGGTTGTACATGCCGTAGAGGGCGTCGCAGGCGCTCGCGCCGCCAGCGACGCCCTGCACGAACCGGCTCCACCTGCAGGTAGGAGGGAGGAGCACGTGCTGCCACTGCAGGAGAAGGCATGTGTTCTGGTGGCCACCGTGGCCAGCCGCCACATCCCTGCAGTCCCTGATCTCGGGGTGACCTCGTGTGACCTCGTGTGATCTCGTGTGATCTCGTGTGACCTCGTGTGACCTCGGGTGACCTCGTGTGATCTCGTGTGACCTCGTGTGACCTCGTGTGACCTCGTGTGACCTCGTGTGACCTCGTGCGATCTCGTGTGACCTCGTGTGACCTCGTGTGACCTCGTGTGACCTCGTGTGACCTCGTGTGACCTCGTGTGACCTCGTGTGACCTCGTGCGATCTCGTGTGACCTCGTGTGACCTCGGGTGACCTCGTGTGATCTCGTGTGACCTCGTGTGATATCGTGTGACCTCGTGTGACCTCGTGCGATCTCGTGTGACCTCGTGTGACCTCGTGTGATCTCGTGTGACCTCGTGTGACCTCGGGTGACCTCGTGTGACCTCGGGTGACCTCGTGTGATCTCGTGTGACCTCGTGTGATATCGTGTGACCTCGTGTGACCTCGGGGTGACCTCGGGTGACCTCGTGTGACCTCGTGTGACCTCGTGTGATCTCGTGTGACCTCGTGTGATATCGTGTGACCTCGTGTGACCTCGGGGTGACCTCGGGTGACCTCGTGTGACCTCGTGTGACCTCGTGTGATCTCGTGTGACCTCGTGTGACCTCGTGTGACCTCGTGTGACCTCGGGGTGACCTCGGGTGACCTCGTGTGACCTCGTGTGATCTCGTGTGATCTCGTGTGTAGGGGCGCACCTCCAGTTCCCTGCGTACCGCCCTGCGGTGCTCGCCGCCTGGAAGGGCGAGAAGCCGAGATGTAGCCGAGATGTAGCCGAGATGGAGCCGAGATGGAGCCGAGATGGAGCCGAGATGTAGCCGAGATGCAGCCGAGATGTAGCCGAGATGTAGCCGCCTCGAAGGGCGGGAAGCCGGACAGCAGTGTGAAGACGAGCACACCGTACGCCCAGCAGTCGACCGGAGGTGCGAGGTAGCCGGACGACGCGGACCAGAGCTCGGGCGCCATGTACGTGGGAGTGCCGACGCCGTCGTACCGCAGCGCGGGCGCGACGCCGCCGTCCGGGGTGAGCGGCACCTCGCACGCAAACCCAAAGTCGATCAGCTTGATTGAGCGGTGGTCCTCGCCCACGATCATGACATTCTCGAGCTTGACGTCTCGGTGCACCACGCCGCGCGAGAGGCAGTGCCGGAGCGCCTCGGCGATGCTCTCCGCAAAGGAGCGCGCCACACGCTCCTGCATGGGCCCTCCGTCGGTCACCCGCTCGAAGAGCTCGCCGCCGCTGCAAATCTCGAGGAAGAGGAAGGCCGTGCCTCCGGGCACCTCCTCGAAAGCAATCAGCCCTATGACGGACGGGTGTCCCGCCACTTGCTCTAGCATCCGCGCCTCCGCGCGCAGCTCCGCCGCGCTGCCGCGCTTCGCTGCCACACCGAGCGTTTGCGACGCCGACCTGTCGAGAGCGAAGAACACCGTGCCGAAGCCTCCGGTCCCGAGCGTGCGGTCGAGCCTCACCTCAAAGCGTTCCCCGATCAGCTCGGCCGAGCACATCATTTGCGTACCTCGACGGCAGTCCAAGCATGCATCGGCAGATTCAGTGCCTGAGTCAGGCAGACAGCACAGACAAGGAGCGGAGAGAGAGAGGAGAGAGAGAGAGAGAGAGGAGAGAGGAGAGGGTGAGGGAGTGTGCACACGTGAGGAGCAGGTAGGGTGTCTGTGGTGGGCTGTAGTCATACGACGTGGTTAAAACCACGCGCCCCTCAGGAGCTAAGGTAGAGTGGAGCGCCCTAGACGCCTCGGTGCCTCCCACCGGGTGAGACCATCCGGATCTACCGGGCGCGCCTCCGGCGGCCCGTCCCCGCGATGGCCCATGGTCCTCCGTCGCCTGGTTGACCCCCTGCCTCCCGGTTGAACCCCCAGTCCTCGTACTCGACCATTAAATAAACTCAAAGGTCCACCACTGCCTCCAGCCTCCACCTCCACCGTCGAGCCGCGATCGCTGCCGCCCGCGACGCCGCCCGCCGCGTCAGATGCCCGCGACGCGCGCGTCGACTCGAGTCGGAGAGCCGCGCCGCACCAGCAGCAGCATCTGCACCAGCAGCAGCACCAGCAGCACCAGCACAGCAGCAGCAGAGAGAGGCGCCAATTTTGAGATTGCCCGAGACAGCCCGGAGATGGCCCCGCGTTGTAGCCCCGGTGCCGGCGCCTCACATCTCGGCCTCGAGGGGCCGGTTCCGCCGCGCAGTCGAGCAGCAGGAGCTCGGGCACAACTTTGTCGACAAAGAGGATGAGCAAAATTTCGCCGAAGAAGCGGCACCGGCTGCACGCCGGGATGAACCCGGACCGGTCCCATTGTTCACAACCGCCGCGGCGAGCCGCCGCGGGCCCTCAGAAGGGCTAGGAGCCGCGGCACTAGACCGCGCCGCCAGCGGGGCGAGAGCACCAGCCGACAACCTGCCGACATGGCAGTTGCGATGGCGCCTTCACACACACACACACACACATAGGAGAGCGGTGCGACAGAGGAAGCAAAACGTCTTGCGCGCGCGTGATCCGTGAACCAGGGCTCCAGGCCCCAAATGACGTCTGAGTGTTAGAGTTGTTTGGTATTGCTAAAAATCTCTCTCAGAGGAAGAAGCGACAAGAGAGAGAACGACGAGACCGCGAGGTGGCATGAAGCTTGAAGGTTGCGGCGAGAATCGGCGAGGGACTGCGAAGAGAGATAGAAACAGGCAGACGCCGCGGTGAAACCTTCACACTCCTCTCCTTAAAATCCCTGTGTCCTGTGTGCCGTCCTCCCATCCCTCCCTTGGCTTGTCGTTTTTTCTTTCTTTCTTTACAGGTCAGCGATGCTTTGTTTTTCTCTTTTTGTTTTCTGTGAAGGAAGAAATAATTTTGAGAGGAAGAACTGGAAGTGTTGAAACAAAAAAAGAATCTGACTTCGGAATCCCAGCTGGTTTTCCCTCGGAAGTGTTACACCAAAAAAAGAATCAGACTGCGGATAAACCAGCTGAAGTCCAGGCGCATCGAAAGAGGAAGAACTTGGAAACCAAGCACGGGACCGATCACGGCGCGTCGGGCCCGGCGCGTCGCGGCTTGTGCGCACGTCTCGTCGGCCTCTCCGTGCACCGTCTGGTGGCGCAAGACAAGGCCGAGTCGCTCCTCGGCTCGCGCACGCGGCATGCATCCGCCGCTGATGCTCATCCTCTCGCTCCCTGCGGTCGCCGCTTCGCCACAGATCCTCGGTACGAGCGCCACCTCCGAGGGCACCCCCACCCCAGTGCACCCAAGCCGCCGCGGGCCCTCAGAAGGGCTAGGAGCCGCGGCACTAGACCGCGCCGCCAGCGGGGCGAGAGCACCAGCCGACAACCTGCCGACATGGCAGTTGCGATGGCGCCTTCACACACACACACACACAGAGGAGAGCGGTGCGACAGAGGAAGCAAAACGTCTTGCGCGCGCGTGATCCGTGAACCAGGGCTCCAGGCCCCAAATGACGTCTGAGTGTTAGAGTTGTTTGGTATTGCTAAAAATCTCTCTCAGAGGAAGAAGCGACAAGAGAGAGAACGACGAGACCGCGAGGTGGCATGAAGCTTGAAGGTTGCGGCGAGAATCGGCGAGGGACTGCGAAGAGAGATAGAAACAGGCAGACGCGCCGCGGTGAAACCTTCACACTCCTCTCCTCAAAATCCCTGTGTCCTGTGTGCCGTCCTCCCATCCCTCCCTTGGCTTGTCGTTTTTTCTTTCTTTCTTTACAGGTCAGCGATGCTTTGTTTTTCTCTTTTTGTTTTCTGTGAAGGAAGAAATAATTTTGAGAGGAAGAACTGGAAGTGTTGAAACAAAAAAAGAATCTGACTTCGGAATCCCAGCTGGTTTTCCCTCGGAAGTGTTACACCAAAAAAAGAATCAGACTGCGGATAAACCAGCTGAAGTCCAGGCGCATCGAAAGAGGAAGAACTTGGAAACCAAGCACGGGACCGATCACGGCGCGTCGGGCCCGGCGCGTCGCGGCTTGTGCGCACGTCTCGTCGGCCTCTCCGTGCACCGTCTGGTGGCGCAAGACAAGGCCGAGTCGCTCCTCGGCTCGCGCACGCGGCATGCATCCGCCGCTGATGCTCATCCTCTCGCTCCCTGCGGTCGCCGCTTCGCCACAGATCCTCGGTACGAGCGCCACCTCCGAGGGCACCCCCACCCCAGCGCACCCAAGCGAGCGAGCCAGGCAAAGGCAAAGAGCGCATCGCCGCACGCCCTCTTAGCGCGCACGCCCGCGGCGCAGGTGTCTCGCCGTCCGAGGTTGGCTTGCACGGCGGCACCACCCTCATCGTTCGCGTTCGAGGCCTGCAGAAGCCAGGCGGCGACGCCGCCTCGGCGGCCCGCGGCTTGGCTGAGATCCGGGTCGGCGGCGTGCCGTGCGTCCACGACCCCTCCCACTCCAACCCCGCGGGCACGAGCGTCGCCTGCGTCGCGCCTCCAATGGCCGACCCAGGCTCGCACGCAGTCACGCTTCACCAGACGACAGAGGAGAACAAGCCGACCACGACGGGATGTCCGGGCTGCCGCCTCTCGTACTCGCCCCTGCTGACCGTCAACGCCTCCTTCGAGCTCACGTCCCGAGGGCCGCTCGCGTCCTCCGCTCCGGCCACGGCCGAGGCGGTTGCGGGAGACTCCCTCTTTGTGACGCTCTCGGGCGTAGACGGCGACCTGGCACGCTCCCAAGTCACGGTCGTCTTTGCCGCTGTCGGCCCGGACGGACAGCCCGTCAGCGGCGGCGCCGCGCCGGTCCGACCAAACGACTACCACACCGTCCTCCGCCGCGCGGAAAGCTCCGCCGGAGAGTGGCACTTGCGCGTCCGCGTGCCTCGCTCCCTCGTGGCGGGATGGCACAAGATGGAGGTGCGCGTCGAGCGTCGGGGGCCGTCGGAGGCGGCGGCGCACGGGCGGGTGCGCTGGGGAGGGGGCGCGACCGCCGCGCTGCTCCGCGTCCACCCCGTCGTCGACCGCGTCTCCGCGTCTCGCTCCGGCCTCAACGGCGGGGCCCTCCTCACCGTCTCTGGATCGGGCTTCTCCGCCGTCGCGTCGGAGAACGAGCTGAGCGTGGGAGGCGCGCACGCGGCAGCGGCGTGCGAGGTCGTCGAGGCGGACTCGCACCGGCTAGTCTGCCGGCTGGCCGAGGCGGCGACGCCATCGCAGGTTGGGAATCCGGAGGAGGAGACAGTGTTTGCCTCGCCTGCGACTTGGGCGGTGGCGCCGCTTGAAGCGTCGCTGCTGCTGCCCTGCCTGCCGCGCTCGGTCACGATCGACGCACTGCAGGCCTGCGCGGGTGGGGACGGCGTGGAGGAGGCGACGCGGCTGCCGCTGCGTCACGAGCTGGACTTCCCCAGCGACAAGCCCCTCGCCCTTGACGACGGCGCCTTCCGGTGCTCAGCTCTCCCCCGCCGCCGCCCTCCGCCCTCCGCCGCCCTCCCGCCGCCCTCTGCAGCCCTCCCGCCGCCCTCCCGCCGCCCTCCCGCCGC